TAAAGATCAGTATGATGGAGATTGTGGAGAATGGAGATTATGGCCCTTGCATTCAAACAAGCATCCAATAAGGAGAAGGGGCTACTTTGGGGTGGGGATGGGGTGGGAGGAGAGCATCACAGGAAGAAGCACCAACAAGAACAAAGTCCTAGAGACAGAAAGAAGGTCAGTAAATTCTGGGAACACATAAAATTTCCATGTGTACAGCAAACAGTCTGATGAGAGAGAGAGAGAGAGAGAGAGAGAGAGACATAAAAACAAATCGTTACAATACAGGATGATATACATTGAGAAAAGGACAAGTACAGTGTGCTATCGATGCACAGTAATAGAGGAGAGTCATTCTGTTCTGGAAGCAGGAAGATGCGATATCTGATATTGACCTTCTGAAGCTTTTGAGAGGGGTTTTGCCAAGAAAACAGAAAGCAATGAGCAGGAGATGCTGCTAGAAGGGAGACTCTTTGTAAGGAGCGAAGGAAGGCTTCACTAAGACAGTATAGACAGATGCTTGTCTAATTAATAAACACAGGTGAAACTACAGAATTCAGCCAGACTAGAGAAGAAAGGAGAAAAGTTCCTGGGATCATTGACCTGTTGCTTCCCCAGCAGACTCTAGTTGGGACCCCAAATAAATGATAAATCCCATAGTTCTGTATCTACATTGTCTTACTTGGTGTCCTCCTCAGCACTGCTGCTTCAAAGGAAACCCTAGAAATTAGGGGCCCAGACCTGGAGAATGTCTATATTCTTGGGACTTGGGTGTGTCCACACTCACTGCCCTGGAGTTCCCATAGGGTGCAGAACAATTTTGGCTTCTGAGATTGTTCTTTCTCTTCTAGCCATCAACTCTGGACGGATAAATTGGGCCACCCAGGAGAGGAGAGGAGTGCATAGACAAGAAATCAGTAATGAAATGATGGTACTGCTGAAAAAAAGAGTTGTGCTTGCAAGTACAGTGATGTAAATTGTTGTAGCAGTTTTAGGGAACGAGTAGTTTTTTATGGTCCTATGGTGGCAGCTCTGTGTTTGTGTGGGAGGGGGGTGGGGAGAGAGGGGAGATGCCAGTGATGGGAAACAAAGTTTTTTTT